CCAGCCAGTCCCCACAATACACCAGCGCCTCGCCGCGCAGGACCCGCTCCGCGGACATTGAGTCATCAGGACGGGTAATCCCGTTAGTTCAGAAGATCCTAACCCAAAGTCTTTTGGAAAACTTTTCTGGAGCGGACAATTATTTAATTAAATACCGCAGTCACTATCTTCGCCCTTGAGCGTGACTCACCTTCGCTATTCCCATCCCCAGAGAAGTTTACTTTACCCTCGCGTTTGCACTACCTTTCACTGAAGTCGGACTGAGCAAACAGAAAAGGAAGCATGTTTAAGTATGTTTTCTGTGCCATTCTTGGAAGATATACAACACAAACACTCTTCAGTCAGATTTATGACGACAGCCAGGGATGCAGACAGGAATAGGGTGGGGTGCTCAAACCCTACGCGCCGGTGATTAACACGGAGAAGGGCCACATTCTGCCGTCGGCTACGCGGAGACAACTCCCGTCCACTTCCAGGGCTTTCTTGCACTTTTATCTCGGGATAGATCTAAGGATTTGGCCCGACCTTTGAAAACTGGCCACGTACCCGCCGGTGGAGGATCTCCTAGCTGCGCACTCTTCGCTAAAACAGAAGCACTTAAACCAGTAAGAAAAAATATATATATATATTTCCATACACACATGTAAAAGACACGCTAAGGAGTACAGGATCGCGTTGATCCGTTCAACCGACTTTCACCATCCGAAACCACCTTCTCACACCACATCTCTGCCTCTAAAGACGGCCCTGCCTTTAGTTTATAACTACGGTTAAGGGCTAGGCCTACCCAAAGCTTGTGCTTCAGCCTGCCATGAAAATAACTCGCGGAAGCCTTTTACAAACAAATTCATATGAACCAAAAGCTACCGTGTGAAAAATGACACGCGCGCGCGCGCGCACTGAACAAGCGTGCGCACACGTACCGCTTAAGGACTTTCACTAGTTAAGAATTATGGCCTTTATATCCACTCTCTCAACTCCCAACGTCCAACTTTTTCATGCAGCTAGTCCCTAGTAATACTGGGAATCAAAGGGCATGCAGCACCAGCAATAGGCTATTATAGCCCACACTTTATTACCCATTACTACCGAGGTCATTAGCGGTAAGAGTGATTGTACCGGTCTTAACCTATTGATCATTGTAACTACTATCATTTAATCCCGTGTTGAATGTCTGGAAAGCTGCTAAAGGCACACAAGAGAGAGTGCTTTAGTGTTGAGAAATATAGCCAAAGCTTGGAAATTACACTTTGATTCATAAAATCTAGCCAGTGGTTTAAATCAATAGTATTTAAAACAGTCATGTAAGTTCTTAACTACAGCTCTCTAATATTTATGGGTCCCTTTTTGAGTGTATTCAGTCAAAACTAAACTTTATTTTAGATACTGTGCAATATACTTTACATTACGTTAGATAAAAAATATTTATTTCTGATATTTTGCCTGATAGTAAGTGAAACCTAAACTGAGGGCTATAAATTCATCTTAGATTCCTATCTCTCAGATGTCAACTTAAAAGTGTTGCCAAAAAAAAAAATTACAAACCAACTTTGAAAACGGCTTAACTGTTTAAGTACATGAAAATGAGTGTGTTTTATGAGTTAACAATGAATCACAGAAGGCAGTTTATGAAGGACTAAAATAATTCTGTCTTACTGCCTTCAGGGAGTTGAAGTTCAAATTAAAGTACTGGCAGATATATTTAAAGAATGCTAACTTAGCATGCAGAACAGAAATCAATCTCTCCCCCCCCCCTTTTGAGAGTTGTTTATTTCTATTCACCACATGAAACATGATTGTTGTTATTGATACCATTAACGAACCACTTCTGGCATTGTTGACTGATAACAATAGGGTGTGGTGGATACCCAGCTGCACCCAAACCTGGCAGCAAAGGTAAAAATACAGCTGCAATTTGGCTTTCGGATGGGTACTAGTATAGACCTGCTGACATGCTAAAACCATCAACGGCAAAAACCGTCTTTAATACTCACAATTGTTTTTCAGACACTCTCCATTTCTCCCAGGCTTCTCTCTGCCCGCTCTTGCTCCGCATCCCCCCCAAACCCTGCTGCTCCTCGGCAGCCCCCCGCCCTCGTCCCCGGGGCTGGGCGAGCACGCCGCGTTTCGGGGCGCCTGACCGCGGGAAACTTGCCAACAACTCGGGCCCAAGTTCCCGGGGCGCTTCACCCGGCGGCCACGGCAGCGATGCATTTGTCACTCTCGCACGCAACTCACGCAACGGCCACGGGCAGGAACACCCCTGAGACCTAGTCAGTCATCTACCTTCCCCCCCCCCGTCTTCGCTGAGATGAAAATAATTCAACACTAGCTACATTATTTCAAGCGGTTTAATCTTGTATGAAGTGTGTGTGGGGTGGGGGACCGCTATTTTCCTTCGGTGGTGGATAGGGGTAGAGGCTCCTTAACCGTTAGCAGGCGGGCATGGACCAGGCGAAGGGTTTCCCTAACTCGTAAAGGATAACTCTGCCAGAAAACCCTTTTCTCTCCTCTTGTAAGCGCAAACTTGATTTCTGTTCACTTCTCCTACCAGGTACTTTGGATTTCTAGGGGGGAAAAAAAAAAAAATAGTTCTTCATTTAAAGGTTGGGCGAGAAAAGTTAAACGGAGCAAAACCTAGCTGAACGCAGAAAGAACAAGCGGCCGAGGAGCAGTTAAAAACACTGGGCTGCCTGAGAATTAGACACGGCTAAGCAAAAAACAAACAACTGATTTGAGCTGTCTTATTGGACTGCTGCTACGTGCAAAACATTTGAAACGTAGAACATCTCAGCCAAAACAACGCAAAATCGCTCTGCTCATGCCACAGGACAAGATAAACCACTGATACATTGGCAAGCAGAGAGCACGATGCCGCAAACCATAGCAGATCCCCGTAAAATAAGAAGTACCGAACGCAGGAGCTGCATCCATCCCGAAAGCAAAACGTTTCTGACATAACGTTTCACTCTTCAAAACAACAACAAAAAAAGCCACTGTTAGAATTATTCATGTGGAAACCGTAATCCTGTTTCATTATGCAAAACGGAATCTCACTTTTAGACTTAGTTATTTGGCCGTAATACTGCACAACACATTAAGACAGGTAACGTTTATTATATTAATGTAAAATCAGCTAAGTAGTCAGTCATTAGCATAACCGTTCTCTCCGTAACAATACGGCTCCCCACTAAAAGAGAGGGGGGAAAAAAAAACCTCC